TCATGCATTATATGTGTGTGTCCGTCCGTCTGTCCAAGCAGCTGGCTTCCTGCCAGCAGCTTTCATGCTCAAGCGATTTGCCCATTGCTCAATATTGGGCTTCAACTCGACGATTCTGCTAATTCATTGAACCTCTTGGGACTCGCAAATTATGACTCACAGCTGCCCGCTGATGCTGGCTGTTTTGTTTTTGCACAATTTAGACACTCGATGACGCACGTGGCATAAAACTTTCCGCTGCAGCGGAAAGTCCCCCGGAAAGCCATTGCATGCCACGACTGACCTTGGCACGGCAACGCACTCGGCATGCAAACTACAGATCAGCAGCAAATCTAAACGATTTGCAGTAACATTTTGCTAAGAACTTTGCTCGCTTTCAGAGCTGAACGCTGAAACCTTTAACAATAAAGCCATTTGGAGAGCAGGCATCCTCGCACAGCCACTCGTACTGGTAGTACTCGTAGTCAGGTCCAGCAGAGACAACAGAATTCCAATGCCAAATGCGTACATTGCTTTGGGGCTCAATTATTATTATGATTATTGTGATTGTTGTGCTGACTTAAGCGGCTTTTGGCCTGGCTGCCAACGTCAAGCGAACCGTCGAGCCGCTCAAGAAATATTCACAGTTTGTTTCTGAGCCATGGATCTTATAATGCCGCAGTCATATAGCATGACTTGGCACAACTACTGCCACAACAGAAGCAAACCCCGCAAGGTGTTGATTGTATAATGATCTCTGCTGTATCGAATCGATATGAACGGACTTAGCGGGGAATTCAATTCAGTTTTTAGAGCTACTTTCCCAGCTCTTTTCCTTCTAGGGCTTGTTTAGGGGTTCTTTACACCCTCTTACATATAACCCATCTGCACAATCATCATTTATGATGACTGATCAAAAAAATAAAAGACCTGTGACGTATGTGCAATGAAATGCCAGCGGGCCAAACTCGACAGACTCCCCGTCCAGCCAATGCATAAATCAAACAACAATTTATGCTCAAACATGATTATTATTTATACATTTCAGCATTGTTGTGTGTGCCTGAGACACTCGAGAAATTGCAAAAGATTGGTCGGGCGCTGGTGTTAAAGTAAAAGTAAAAGTAACTACCGGTTAAACAAAAGCAAATCAAAACATACGAAATAAAAGTTAAACAAACGTTAACCAGGCAAACAAATACCCACCCACCCAACAGCAGCAGCAGCAACAGCAGCAGCAACAGCGCACCAATCGCCAAACAATCGCAACACACAAATAAAATGCTGATATCAACGTAAGTAAATTCCGTGGATGAACATGAACATGAACGTGCAGAGATTACGGCCATAAATCGCAATCAGTGTAACAATTTTGACCCACTGATGTTGACCCACTTGGGTGCCAGTCAATCGCCGCCAGTCTATCAGTCTTCCAGTCTCCACAGTCATCCAGTTTCCTGCTGTCAACGCCCGATCTCGCGACTTTAACACTTGTCGACCCATTAACATTGCATAATCCCTCAGCGAGACGACTTTTGATTTGACTTTTCCAACGCTTCGCTTCGCCCTTTTTGTGTCTTTGTATCTGCTTTGGCCATATCGCTTTTTGTTTCTGTTTTTGGTTTTGTTTTTGGTTTTTGTTTCTGTTTTTGCATATTTGCCAGCGACCGCATTTCTCAGCGGGGCGAACAAGTTTGTAATTATGTCAAATACCAAAAGGCGCACATTGCATAATCCAGATGAATCCCATAGCCATCGCAAATTCCCTTTTCTGACTCTTGACTTGATTAATGCTCGCATCCCATGAAGCTCGAACAATGCCTGGAGTGGGTATTACCCGGCCTTGCTTTTTGCACTACCCTCTCGCTCGTAATTCAAAATAATGAGAGGCCATTGATTTATTTGGCAAATGACGAGTTTGCCATTTCAATGGCTGCTTCCTCGTTGGCCTGTCACTCGGTGTCGGTGCTTAAGCTCAAGAATAGAAGCCCATAATTATATGCCACTGAACGAAAAACGAAAACAAAACTGACAACAACGAAACAATTCGCTCAAGCGGCAGAGCCGACAACAAAAGTCAATTACACGATTTCATTTGCATCTTCCGCGTGTGGAGGCGATGTGTATGGAAATGCCTAAGAGAGATGTGTTGCTTATCAATTCTGTGGCTACTCCGTTCTGGAATTCCCCGCAAAGGTCCCACGAAAGAAAGAACCGATTGTACATTCCTGTGGGATCGGCGTGCTTAAAATTCAGCTCATCATTGCAATTGTTGCGTGACAGACTCCAGAGGCAGATACAGAGCCCGAGCCAGGAAGAGTTTAAGTCCGAGTCTGAATGTTGGTCTGTCTGTCTGTCTGTCTACCTTGCATGTCTCTCCCTATGCTGATTATATGCGATTAACCGGCTCAATCATCAATGAAATGGCAACACGAAAAGCCTTCTCCCATACCTAACCTAACCTTAGCTTGGCTTAGCTTAGCTTACCTGTTATATAAGCCTATAAAATGGCAGACAAATTTAACAGTCTTTATCTTGGGATGACCTCATTGGCACCTCTGTGGGAGTCGCACTGAACTTTGTCTGGGCTCTGGGCTCTGGGCTCTCTCTCTTGCTCTGCCTGCCACAACAATTATATTGGGTTTGCATTCTAAAGTCCGCTATTTACTCAACGAGTAAAGTGCAAAAAGTATAAAAACTGTCAGTTAGGGCACACGAAACGTTAAATTTATTGATGATTCGGGGAAATATACTCTGAGCAAATAACAGCATAAATAAACTTGGTTTCATTTCCAAAAAAAAAAATATATATATCTTTGGGTCTTTCCCCTGAGTGTCTTACCATTGAGATAAGGCATCACAAATTCTCACGGTCTATATGGGATTGTCGACTGGGATTGTCACCACGATGTTGCAACATCCACCGCCAACATCCACATTCAACAGCCCAAAAATGTGGCGACTCTGTGGACACATCGCTGCATGCATAAATAGCGCTCTAATAGTTAATTAAATTATCAATAAGCAGGCACAAACCAAACACTATCAACATGCCCAAAACTCTTGGCCATAAATGTCAAACGCACCCAGCTCACAAGAAAAGAGAGAAGAGAGAAAAATGTCGGCTTGTTTGTCATTATAAAAAACTACTTGGCCTGACCTTGTCCATTGTTGACTGTGCGCGCACGCACACACACATTTACATTTACATTCACAGACACAGACACAGGCACAGGCACACAGATACTCTCACACAGGCGCATACAGAAATTTACGCAACTTGCGAGTGTTTGGCTTTTGGGCAGCAGTGACTAACAATACTCGTACGCAAATCGAAAGACTCCGACAACGAACTTGAAACACATTTCGTCAACGAAATTGCAGCATGACTGCGAGCATATCTGAGTGCGTTTCGTATTCAGAATCGGTTGTGGCACAGCACAGGCCAGCGCAGCCCAGCCCCAAATGTTGTCAGTTGGGGAGATGGACGCATTATGCAAATATTTGATAGGCCGCATAATAAAGCTACTACTTAATTTTCACTGCAAACTCGGCATCGGCTTTCGAGGATGTTTGCTTTGCTCTCAAGCGGTGGGCTGTTTATTGGCTGTTGGGCTGTTTGGCAACCGTCATCAGATCATCTCAACTCATCCCAGTTTGGGTTTCGTATCGGATCGGATCGGATCGCCTGTCTCGTGCCTTATACAAAATGCAAATATTTGCGGCCGAACGAATATTTATTTTAACGAGAAGTAACGCAACGACAGCGATTAGCAAAAACTTGGCTGGGGGTTCGATTGTACCCCAAAACCCAAACGTTTTCGAAAGCGACAACAAAAACTGATCGACTGCGCTCAATTAGTGACCTTGAACTAGTTTACCCCCCCAACCCGCCATCCATCAAGTGATTTTTGGTTTGTGTATCTCGTTTCTCGTTTTCATTTCTTATATGACTTGCTTTTTGGGCACCCCGAACACCGAAGAGCGAACGAACAGCGACACGAACGCTCGTTAATGATACGAAAGGCCCGCAGTCAAAATATGTTAAAGAGGTGCGAATGTGATTAATTGCAGGCAATTATGAACTTTCTTCGCCGAACCATGGCTAACAATGCAGCTAACCTTGACCCAAAAATTGGCTACTCTCTGCTCCCCTTCCTCCCCGACTCACACATGGTTTGAGCCTTCGCTGCACAGCGCAATGCAGGCCAAAATGCGGGAATGCCAATTGCATAATGGCCCAGACCACTGCAAATGCAAACTACAAACAGTTTGCATATTTGCTCAACGGCTGGCCTGTCCAACTTGGGCCGTGGTGGCTGTGGCTGTGCCTGTGCCTCAGACTGTTAAGCAATCAGCCGCCAGAGCTGGTCCGGTCCGACCAGAAAGACCATTGAGGCTTTAACAACTTTACTTTACTTATAGCGATTTGCTTGGTAAGCATTCACTTCGACTTCACCGACTTTTGTGTTGCCAACTTGGCCAAGTGATCACACACTGACCACTAACCAAGTGGCCAACTGGCCAAATGGCCAAATGGCCAAAAAGCGCGTTGGGTAAGAGAGACGAGTGTGTCTGTTGGACCGACTATATACACGTAAATATTGAAATGAAAAGTGTGGCCAAGCAGCGCTCCATTGTTGCTTTTTCTGTCTCTCTGTCTCTCTGTGTGTGTGTGTGCTTCATGCTTTTTTGCAATGTGTGCCGCTGACATAGTTTCCAAGCGCCTAACCACTGAAGCATACACCAGATACACTCAGATACAGATTCGACTCATATGCGACCACACGTTAACGTTATGCAAATGCAAAAACCAGCAGCAGCAGCATCAGCAGGAAGTAGTCAATAGCCAATTGAGCGAGCCACAAATGACCAATAAAATATTCTAAAAACCGAAACGAATGACCTGCAAGTGCAGCAAAGTATTCGGAACAAGTTTTTAGTTGCAATAATAACTATTTTTAGATACTATTTTGAGTTATAGTTGCATTCTAATTACAAAAATTTTTTATCTCTTGCAGCATTCCCACAGACTCCGCGATGGCGGCCACAAACACAAACGATGGTGGCACACAGCCACAGAATGCTGTTTCAGCCTGGGGCCAGCCCGCTGCCGGACCACGCAACACACAGGCCGCCGTGTCCGTGCGACATGCCTTCAAGGCCTACGGCAAAAAGAAGAACGCCAACCAGGTGCTGAATAACCTGAATATGACAGTCCCCAAGGGAACAATGTGAGTAACATCATCTCTCTTCTATAAAAGTGAAATGTTGACAGCTTCATTTAGCAACTAAATAAAATAGAAACGGCGAAAGTAATTAACACATCACATCAGATCAGATCAGATCGGAGCACTGCCCATGGGATACACATACACCTATATGTGTGTGTACTGTACAGATTGTATTTTAGATGAACTCGAGTTAGATATTATATTGGCAGACGATTTCCTTGTAACTCAGATTTGATTGCATGCCCCGAGATTTAAGAGTCTCCATCAGAGGTCATTTGGTTACGCTCGAGCTCGAGCCTCCACTGGTAATTGCGGCAATTATAAATTATACGATACGTGTACTATGGCTAACCAGTCCGGGCCAAGACTAGTTTGCGCACTCGTACTAGTACTCGTACTAGCACTAGTACTCGTACTCGTATCTCTCTTGTAATTGAGACGGCATTTTTGCATGATAATTTGAGGCTGCTAACGAGGGTCGTTGGAGCAGTTCCAGTACCTACAAAGAAGTGATCCCCATTAAGAGGCTTCCTTGCCGGCTGACGTCAATCTCTGGCCGCATTCTACACGTATTCACAATTAGACAAATGCCATTCGCATGCAAAGACTGCCGTTCATATGCTGAATCTGGAAATAGAAGCAATAAGCCAGGCAATATTGATCGGTTATTGGCAGGCAAACGATATTCAAAGTTCGATTTGGAGGGTTTGTTTGGCTTCTCCATCTCCATCTCTGTCGCGGCACATGTGCTTAATTGTGCGCGCCCCTCGAGCCCAAGATTCGACCGCTTCATGAATTTTTGGCAAACATTTGGGGGCCATCAATTTCCAATCGTAAATAATTCATTTTTTATTTATTTTTTGCCTTTGGCATTGATAAAATAATTTCGGCATTCTTAATGATTTATAAGGCACACTTAACCGGCGGCTGGCCATCGAGCGTGTGTCGTAACGGCGTTTTATTCTACGAACCACATAACGAGTATGCTGCAGTCTTGACCCAGTTAACAGTTTGGTTCGTTCAGCTTTGACCTAGGTCATGTCAGCAGTCGAGTCAACGAACTGCACGCAGCGGGCCAGGCCAGGCCCAAATGGCTTTTGGGTTTTGGGTTTTCAAAGTCACTGAGGACTGACCAGACGATTATGCCAATTAAAGTCTGGCACAGCCAGAGATAGAGCCAGAGGCAGAGCCGGAGACTGCGACTGCGACTGTCCTCCCTGGGGGTAATATCAAATGTTGTTTATGGCTAAAGTTTATTTCGTTAAGTGGCGCTGCGTGTTAATTATAATAATAAATCCAATAACAGGCCAAAACGTGCGACCTACGTGCCGCAACATTTTGTCAAAGGCCGAAAGTCCCAACGAAAACAGACGACAAAATAACAATCCGATAATCACAATAATCATCGCCTATGAACCTCATCATGATGATACAGCCCGTCTGCGGCTGCCACTCCACAAAAAGAGGCGGGGTCGTCGCATTTGATATCTGGCTGGGGGGTGGTGGTGAGGGGGTTGAAAATGCTACCTACGACTATATTTCTTACTTTTCAAGGTGAACATTTCGAAATAATTCAACTTGAACTGCGCGAATCAGCATTGACATCGTCGCTGACATGCCACAAATCGTTACACATACATACATATACTTACACATACTCGTATGTACATACGTATGATAATACGATTAAATCTATGTACACATGCGAGTACAAGTATATGCCCCATGTCTGTGACGACAGTTTTCGTGCTGAATTTGCAAAACAATGCTTACTGGCTGTCGTTCTCTTAGCGCTTTTATATCCAGTAATCGTAGAAGCAATAAGAGTATCTTGAATAAGTAATATTCCAGCTGGTGTTCGACTTGGATAGAGCAGGGAATAGATCACCAAATAAACCCTATACCCTATACCCTAAACCCTGGCATGGGGCATTATCTCTTCAGCTCTATTATGGTTCCCCACTCATCACAATATCTGTATTCCTGCTCCTTTAGTTATGGCCTGCTGGGTGCCTCTGGCTGTGGCAAGACCACACTGCTCTCCACCATTGTGGGTCGCCGCTACTTGGACTCTGGCGAGATCTTCGTGCTGGGCGGCAAGCCCGGCACTCGGGGATCGGGTGTGCCCGGCAAGCGTGTGGGCTACATGCCCCAGGAGATTGCCCTCTACGCAGAGTTCTCCATTCAGGAGACCATGATGTACTTCGGCTGGATATTTGGCATGGAGACCAAAGAGATTATGGAGCGCTTGCAGTTCCTGCTCAACTTCCTCGATCTGCCGTCGGAGAAGCGTCTGGTCAAGAATCTGAGTGGCGGGCCAGCAGCGTCGCGTCAGCTTCGCAGTGGCCCTCATGCACGACCCGGAGCTGCTCATTCTCGACGAGCCCACTGTGGGTGTGGATCCCCTGCTGCGTCAGAGCATCTGGAATCACTTGGTGCACATCACAAAGGCTGGCCAGAAGACGGTCATCATTACCACACATTACATTGAGGAGGCGCGACAGGCGCATACGGTAAGGCATCTCCAGAACATCACTTGCAGATCTCTGACTTTATTCCTCTGAATCAGATCGGTCTTATGCGATCCGGACACTTGCTGGCGGAGGAGTCGCCCAGCGTTCTGCTTTCCATCTACAAGTGCATCAGCCTGGAGGAGGTTTTCCTGAAGCTGTCGCGCATCCAGAGCCAGAAGGGCGACGTGACCCATGTGAACTTCAGGTAGGTCCCAGCCGGACATAGTCCACGTATTTAACCCCCGCCGTCTAGCGTCGCCCATTCTAATACCCGAACCGTAATCTTTTCCATTTGGCACTCCACACTCCACTCCACTCCACTCGCATGCTTGCAATCTGTGTTCCACCATCCACCATCTCTGTGTTTTGTGATCATTCGGAGTAGTAACAACATTTCGTTGCACGCAATGGCCTTCGGCAGCAAGATGGACAAGCCCAGCTCCAGCCAGGAAGGCGGCGTTGTGGGCCTCAACTTCCACCAGAGCAAGGAGGTGCTGATCAATGACAGCAACGGCTCCATCTACACGGTTTGTGCTCCGTTCTTGCCCCGATCCCCTTGCTCATTTTTGGCTTTCTAACCCCACGACAGCTGAACCAGGAACCGTACAGCCCACCGCCCGCCAGGCGCAACAACAACCCCAATGACGAGGAGAGCTGCCAGGACTGCTATGCCAATCTGTGCAAGGTCACCTCCAAGGGCAAGATCCGCGCTCTGCTGACCAAGAACATGCTCCGCATGTGGCGCAATGTGGGCGTGATGCTGTTCATCTTTGCCCTGCCCGTGATGCAGGTGATCCTCTTCTGTCTGGCCATTGGACGCGATCCGCAAGGCCTCAATCTGGCCGTAGTCAACGGAGAAATGAACAATACGGTATGCCAAATATACTAGAAGATCTCGCAGCTCGGAGTTACAATTCTCTGCCCGCTTTTGTCCCTTTAGGAGACCTGCTTCTGGGAGGATGGCTGTCACTTTGCCAATCTGGGATGTCGCTACCTGAACCACCTGAACACGAGCGTGATCAAAACGTATTATACGGAGCTAGAAGACGCCAAGGCGGCAGTGAGAAGAGGCGAGGCCTGGGGCGCTGTCTACATCACGGAGAACTTCACGGACGCCTTCACCGCACGCGCTGCCCTTGGCCGTGAGGCGGACGACGAGACGCTCGATCAGTCCGAGGTGAAGGTCTGGCTGGATATGTCCAATCAGCAGATCGGCGTCATGCTGAACCGCGACATACAGCTGGCATATCGTGACTTCGCCATGGGCCTCCTCGGACAGTGCGGCAACAATCCCAAGTTGGGCGATGTCCCAATTCAGTTCAGAGATCCCATCTACGGCACCATGAATCCCTCGTTTACCGATTTCGTAGCACCCGGCGTGATCTTGACGTAGGTTTCTACCCCCATAAAATATCTGAGAATACAATTAATATTTCATTCATTTTTGTTTTGATTGTTTCATAGAATTGTCTTCTTTTTGGCTGTGGCTTTGACGTCATCTGCTCTGATCATTGAGCGCACTGAGGTAACAAACAAATTAAGATATTTATTCCTGCTTGTATTAACTTCGTGGATTCATTGCAGGGCCTGCTGGATCGCTCCTGGGTGGCTGGTGTGTCCCCTGGCGAGATCCTCTTCTCCCATGTCATCACCCAGTTCGTGGTGATGTGTGGCCAGACCACGCTGGTGCTCATCTTCATGCTGGTGGTCTTCGGGGTGACCAACAATGGCGATCTGTTCTGGGTGATTGTGCTGACGCTGCTGCAGGGCATGTGCGGCATGTGCTTCGGCTTCCTCATCTCCTCCGTTTGCGAGCTGGAGCGCAATGCCATCCAACTGGCGCTGGGCTCCTTCTACCCCACCCTGCTGCTGTCTGGTGTCATATGGCCCATCGAGGGTATGCCAGTGGTGCTGAGGTAAGCCACTTTCTTTCAGACTCTATCAGAATGAAACCCAAATTCAAATACTCCTCCCCTTCAGATATATTTCGTTGTGCCTGCCTTTGACGCTGGCCACCTCATCACTGCGCTCCATCCTCACCCGTGGCTGGGCGATATTCGAGTCGGATGTCTACATTGGCTATGTGAGCACGCTCTCCTGGATCCTGGGCTTCCTGATCCTCACGATGCTGGTTCTGCGGGCGAAGCGCGGCTAGAGGCGTCTGCATGCCGCAGCACATAATTTTAGATCGCGTTTAGTCGTCATTGTCGTCCCTTCCTAGCTCTTAAGATAGTGTTCCCCCCCTCTGGCTTTCACTCTTTTTGATTCTTTCTCGCTCCCCTTTGCTCCTGCTTCTTCTCTTCTGCCCAAATGTCATAAATTATTTAAGCACCCACGCAGCTTTCCTTAGCTTCTACTTCGCACTCCAAGCACTATAAATATTTGTTTAAGGCTGCACATTTCGTAGTTTAATTTGTAAGGTTTAGGTACCTAAATGAATTGTTGTTGTACATACGAGTATGTTCTGTGTCACAAATCAACCCGAAAAACAAAAACAAAACGTCCGTGTGTGAGCGACCTAGCTAGACGTCCATTATTCGTAATCCTCTGTTCTAGAACTTCTCTTGATTCCGAATCGGGCAATTTATTACACACACACACACACACCACACACAACTAATTTTATATATTTTTCAATGGACTGTGATTGTTTTTTTTATACATATTTCACGCGAAAGCCTAAAGAAGAAAAGAACAAAAAAAAGAAAACAAGAAAAACAAACAAAAAACAATGGTGGGTTTTGTTAATAACATTAAGTAGTTTAAAGCATTTTTTGTATGGGTTTAAGTTTTTTAAGTTAAAACATAATTAAATACAATAATGTACACTACCCTAATTATATGCGAATATACATGTTTGAGGAAATATTATGCTCTTGGCATAAGTATTTCACAACGAACAAATCATAAGCTAAAGAAAAACAACGAACAAGTGAAGCAAAAGTCCTTATTTAAGCATGACCGATCATTAACTACATATGTATGTATGTGCAGTTATGTATAAATAACAATAAAAACGTGAATAAAAAAAAATGTCAATCTTTTCATTTACAAGTTCGTCAAAGGAGTCTAGATCTCATAATCTTTTTTATAATTTTCGCAATGCGACGAAAATATGTTTAAAATCAAATTCAAAATCGATAATCTGCGCGCATTTTAGATAACAGCAAATTAACAGCAAACTGTAAGCGAAACAGCTCAGCTGTGTTACTCGATGATTGCCTATCGTAGAGATGAGAATTCTGTTGTGGTACAAACTCAGTCACAGTATGACTCATCTCATACAGCGACTGGACTCGCAATTTGTTTTTTTTGCACAACAATACTGATGATTATTGTAATTGTGCAGTCAAATACAAAATAATTATTACGGGAGTTAATTAATATACAATGCGATTCCATATTCAATGCTGTACATAATATATATGGGCCCAGCAGTGACTTAGAAATACTCGTGACAGATAACAGCTACCCAACTGTTGCGCATCTCTGTTGCCTATCGACTATTGCACATCACTAGTTTCCGCAGCTAAAATCAAAACAAAATGCAATTGCAATAACATTTTATTGAAAACATTCAAAGAAATGGACAAATCGAGGTCCAGCGCTTACGAAAAGTTTACTGGATTTGTCGACCAACTACGCAACACAGAATGCAGGTAGGTTGTGCCTTTTGCTGCGCTGAATGTCTCTGTGTGTGCTGCTGCATTGGATGGAATGTTGTTTTTCTGTGTGGCAGGGGGACGGGGACCGGCAACAGTTTGTTGTGCATTATGGCATCTATATATAAGCATATTTTGATTCCGATTCCACTGCCAAGGCTGTGCTCAAGATGTGGCATGGCCCTCTGCATAAACAACCAGCAATTCGAGCAGCAGCAACATTCTCAAAAATATCTTTGAGGAGTGCACCCGCTATGACGTCATCCCGCATACCTGAGCACTTAATAATCTTGCCATCTGTCTGTCCACAGCCAGAAGCAGAAAATCACCTGCTTCCAGCAGATAGCAGAGTGCATCATGTCGCCCTCCCTCGCGGGCCACATCAACTATGCAGCCCACTGCGGCACGGCCACGAATGTGCTGCTGCTTTTCTGCGAGGATCTCGACTCGCAGACTCGGGTGAGTGCCGAGGAGAACTTGAACAAGATCTTTCGCGCCCTGGAAAAGACGCGGGTCAGCCGCATACTGATGGACTTGTATGGTGAAATCAAGAGGAATGGCAATCAGAGGTAAGCCGAAAACTAAAGCCCACATTAGCAGCGTCTTATAGTCAGTTTTCTCTCTGTTTTAGATCATTGCGCATTTGCTTGAATCTGTTTTCCTATTACGCACCTCACATCAAAGAGAAGCACATCAAATGGTATGCAGTACGCCTGCTGCAATGCATGTCCACCATATCGCAGCGCAAGGAGACCCTGCTCCAGGAGACGCTCTCTGACTTTGTGAAGAACTTTGGCCGCTATGTGCAGCAGGGTCTGAGCGATAGCGAAACCTGCAAACTGTTGGAGGTAGGAAGCAGCCCCTGGGCATCTGTCTATCCATTATTGGGTTGTTGACTCAACTGTCGTATTACTTTTCGCAGATATTTCTGGGCAACATTGGCGCTGATTGTGCAGTGAAGCGCCGCTGTTCGGCGCAAAATTGCATCAGCCTGATCGAGCATGCACGCCACAGAAGCCTCATGGCCAGACATGGACTCAACAAAGTGATGGGTAAGCGGAAATGAAGCGACTGAAGAGAAATTTGCTTTGCCTTCGCACTGTAGAATAGAATAGCCTTCTTTTAAGCCAGAATTTAATGAAACTGACGTGTATTGAATTCGCATTGGGACTGCTAATTTCCCGAATTCGATTGTTTCACGAACTGCCTTCAATTGATGTGGACGCGTACACTAATCCTTGAACTGGTGTCAAAGGGGTTTGCTTCTATTACTGTTTGACCATTTAACGCCCCTTAAAACCTGTATTCTCATCAATAATGAAAATGGTGTTTAAAAAGCGTGTAAAATTCAAATTCTAAAGCCGAATATACCATACATAGATATGTACATACATACATGTGTATATGGTTGGTTGGTTGGATGAAAAAATATTTTTTAATATTCTAAAAAGCCGCAAATCCATGGAAAAAAAACCATGCCAACAAAATGCAAAGAAAAATGCACTGCGGACTATGCAATTGTTGAGTATGAATGGGGGACATTCAAAAACTGGCAATGGCATTGTGAATATGCATTGCCAGTTGCCATCCATGAATTCGTTTTGTCCATCGTGGCACGGCACAGTTGATATAAATTATATTTGTGGATGGCATGGCTCTTGGTTACCTTTTGCCATCATCCATCGATGGACGAGAGACCAAACCGGGTGCCCACACATACATGCATATATTGTATTTGTTTTTTTTATTGAGCGGAATTTGTTTTGATTTTAGACAAGGATACTTGAATGGGTTTTATTTTAGCATTTGCTGACTGGACTGGGGGAATGCGGGACTGGGGGACTGCGGCAAATGCTGGTAACTGCAGCGCACAAAACAAAACCCATAGACATGTGAAAATGCTCAAAAATTGCGCACACAAATCATTTTTTATTGAATTTTCCTGAAAATATTATTGGCAAACATTCGCCAAGAGGTAAATGCACCTTAGTTACAGCACTCATTGTTTTTCCATTTCTATTTTTTATAGCCGAATAGAGGGCCAAAATAATGCAACAAAAATGATTGATTCACTGGAAATAGGAATTTCGAGTGGGAAGTACATCTAAAATATAGAGAAATATATCTACTATATTTACTTTGAGTATTAATTGCTTACTCTGGGTGCAAGAGTGTTTGCGTATATGCTTGAGTCTGACCTCACCGGGGATGCATATGAATTAAATTACAACTTGACTTCACCTTTTGCTCTTTTCTTGTCCAAATGTTTACCTTCAAATCAACTCCTTCAACTCGTGGTGCTGCCTGGCTGGTATTCCTGGTGTTCCTAGTCTTCTCTAGTTCTGTGTCAACTTTATGCCACTTCTACGCAAAGGCAATGCCAGCACAATGCCAGGCAACTCTTCAGCGCATCCTTATACAGTCTGGCGCCTCCTTTTATGGTCGCCCATCATAGCCGGGAGTACTTGTGTCCCGGCATGCCCCAACAAACAGACACAAAGTACGGCCCAGCCAGGGCCTTGCCCTCAGCCTCCAGCACCCATCCCCCATCTCCGCCATCTCCGTTTGTTTGTCTCTGTCTCTGTCTGTGCCTTTGCTCCCTGCTCCCGTCTAACTGCCCTTAGACGAAATGAAATTTATGCACTTGGACACTTCCATGCAATAATTCATGCGAAATTGAATCAGATATTCATTCCTGTGCAGCTTTAAAGCGGATAATCAACGTTGTAAACAAATGCAAGCAAAAGCGAAGGGCAGCAAAGGCAAAGGCAAATGAAAAAAAAACGTGCAGAATTTATGATGCGAAGCCAAACAAAAAGTGCAAATTATTTTTCCTGTCAACTGTGGCAGCATAAATAGCCAAATGTTCCTAAAATCTCCCTTTGGAAATGTATTTCATAGTATTTTCTATGACGGAGCCAAGAATCGCCCCACAGAAGACAAAACTTAAGGCTTTTGGCTCGCTTGGAGGAACCTTCCCTCTCCCTTCAAGAGGCTAATCCGTGCGAGTAGCCATCAGAACTTGCAACTCAATTGTATGTCACATATCCTTCGCTATTAAACACCTGCGTGTGAGTGTTGGTGTGGGGAGAAACTATTAATTGCAGTCTTCAAACGTGCCCAGCATGATCGTTCCGTTTTGTGGAACGAGGCGATGCCTCCACCGCCAATTTTGAAGAAAGTTCTTGCGGCTTTTGCCGCAATTAATTGATACACATGAAAACAGGCCGCAAGTTGTGCTCGGTGGCAAAGTCACTTGGCTGCCGCTGCCGCTGCCACTGCCACTGCCACCGAGGGCCATGTAAAAAGTTTCTCCAGCGAGGGAGAGAGCGAGAAGTGTTTTCATTTTTGCGCCCCAAAGGAAGAAAATGAAAACTAATTGAGTAACAAACTTCCAACATGGCGTTTTGTGATTGGTGGCGTATATAGTACGTAATGAAACGACAAATAAGGAGAGACAACACGGGCCACCAGCCCAGAGATGGAGCAAGCACAGAACACTTGCTCTCTCCCATTCCCCATCTTGTGGGGGCATCTAGAGTGCGGAGTCTATAAATATCAGATGGAAACTTTTCAACGAGATAAATTTAATTGGAGGCAATTTGTTGCAAAACATATGAGGGAAAAGTTTGAAAAGAACACGAAACGAAAGAAGTATGAACTGCAATTGGCCAAACCGGCCGAAACGCACAAGTGGGTAAAGGTATCTATCGATGGGTATCTTTGGCATCGCATCGCATCGCATTTGTGTGTCTGTATCTCTGTCTGTGTATGTATTGAGCAAATTGGAATTGCCAACGCATGCTGCGCAAAAAGAAAACTTTGAAGAGCATTTTTAATTTGTAGCAACAGCAGCAGCAGCAGCAGCAGTAGCCTTAAGTTTTCTCTCCATTAACTAACTTATCCTCCTCTCTCTCTCCCTCTCTCTCTGTCTCTTTGCTTCCATTATAGAGCTCCTTTTGACGGATCAGCAGAGCAACTGCGTGCTGGGCGCCTTGG